AAAGTGAGAATTTATCAAATGGTTTCATGTATGATAATGTCTATTTTTTCTTTAACCTGTTAGTATAGTAACTCCATTCATAAGATTTAAAGTTAACTTTAGGTGTCAAAAGTAAAATATTACATTCACCTTATAAAAATAAGAGAATTTATAGGATGTGGAGAGATGGGTGAGATGTGGTCAAAGGAGATAAAATTTTGGTTTGACAGGATGAAACAGCAAGAGATCTATTGTACATCATGATGAAAACAATAACATATTGTATATTTTGAAAATTGCCAAGAATATATTTTAAGTTTTCTCACCACAAAAAGATAATTTGTATGGAGCTAATGCATACTGTTTAATAGTTTGATTTAGCTATTTCACAATAAATACAAATATCAAAACATCATGTTTTATTTCATAAACATATAAAAATTATTAAAGTTAAAGCAAAAAAAAATCTACTGTACAGCCAGAAACCCATGGCTCCTGCCTATAATCCTAGATACTCAGGAGGTTGAGATCTGAGAATTTTTTTAAGTTTAATTAATATTTCATTAAGTGGTATCAAAATAAAAATTACTTAGAGATATAATTAAATACCTAATAATTGGTAGTAACACATAATGCATAATTTAATAATATATAGATATTGGTCTCATTCTATGAAATATGTAATTATATGTATGGATATATGTACATATATGATAAACAATAATAGGATATTGAGTAATAATTAATTAATGCCTTATTAATTGTCAACTGGGACACATCATTACTGAGAATTGTGTTAAGAAGCCCAGACAAGAAAGTCCAAGAGACTCCTAACTCCAATTAGCCACCAGAAAAACAGAAGTGGTGTTGTGGCTCAAAGTGATAGAGCACTAGCCTTGAGCAAAAAAGCTCAGAGACAGTGCTCAGGTACACATTTCAAGTTCCATGATTGATACACACAAAAAAATCTAAAAAGATGAGAGATTGAAAACCATGCTAATTACTTGTGATTAGTGTCTCCAATTCTACTGTGTATACTCCAGTACCATTATGTTTTAGCATATTTTAATGGAACATATATAGTGTTTTAAATATTTCCATATGCAATTTTTTCATCCAAAGGGTATTTTTGTAGTCTAGATATTTTTCATTTGTTTAAAATGCTCTATAGTTCTTAATATATGTATCATAATATTCATTTATTAGTTTTATTTACTTATTTCTTAGTTGAAGTACATTTAGATTATCTTCACTTGTTGTATCCATAAACAATGTTGAAATGAGCAATTTTGTAGGTGTTTTCTAATAAACAGAAGACTTCTTAGTTTTCTGGAACTTTATCATTTTTAAAACTCATGAATGAGCTACTCAGGAGGCTAAGATCTGAGGATCTTGGTTCAAAGCTGTCTAGGCAGGAAAGACCAAGAGATACTTATCTTCAATTAACCACTAGAAAACTATAAGTGATGATGTGGATCAAGTGGTAGAGTGCTGGCCTTGATTGAGCTGAAGAGCTCAGGTATAGCACCCAGGCCCAGAATTCAAGCCCCATGACCAACAACAACAAAAACAACAAAACCTCATGAATGAATATTCACTTTAAAGTGCATGTTCTCAAAATTTCTAGGTTTCTAGTTTGTTTTTTTTTTGGTGTCCGGTCATGGGGCCTGAACTCTGGGTGGGCCTGGGCGCTGTCCCTCAGCTCTTCAGCTCAAGGCTAGCGCTCTACCACTTGAGCCACAGTGCCACTTCCGGCTTTTTTCTTTTTGCTTATGTGGTGCTGAGGAATCGAACCCAGGGCCTCATGCATTGCAAGGCAAGCACTCTACCACTGAGCCATCTTCCCAGCCCCTAGGTTTCTAGTTTGGGAAAAAAATAATTCAAACCATGAACAGATATTCAGTGTGTCTGCTCTATAATATTTACTAAAATAAACATGACTTTTCATCATTTCTCTTCTAATTTTATCCTTTTTAATATTGAAGTGACTTGATTTATCTAATAATCCTAATTAATCTAGTGATTATTTTAAAATACAGTACTGGATTTAACTTATTGACATTTTATAGAAGAATTTTTTATGCTCACAAGTATGATTGAGCCATGATCATTCTTTCTTATATTCTCCTGATTCAGATTTGGTAATAAGAGCTTTCAGATGCTAGAAAGTATTATATATCTTTCCATCTTTTCTAAGTTGTGTTCCCATGAAGAAAATATACACATTGTATTCCTTAAGTTTTAGTAGAGCTTGTTTATCTCTTAGCAATTACTAATCAGATTAATTATGCAATCTAAGTCCTCTTTCACCATTTTTTTTTGGTCAGTTGTGGGGCCTGAACTCTGGGACTGAGCACTGTCCCTCAGCTCTTCAGCTCAAGGCTAGTGCTCTACCACTTGAACTACAGCACAACTTCTGGTTTTCTGGAGATAAGAGTTTCACAGACTGACATACCCAGGCTGGCTTTGAACCGCAATCCTTAGACCTCAGCCTCAGTAGCTAGGATTACAAGTGTGAGCCACTAGCACCTGGCTCACCTGCTTTTGTAAAGTATTTCTAGGGTTCTTATTTCTGTGATAGATGTGTAATGTTAGCTTAGGCTAGTCCATGTTTTCAGTCCTAATAGTTCACAAGTACATACTGCCTTTATAGACTCTATCCTTTATTCATATAAAATTCATTCTTTAGATTTTATTATTTAGTGACATTTTAGTCATCTTAGCTCTTGTAAATGTACTCTGTGATATTAGTACAATGATCACGTTGAGGCAGGATAGACTGATATGGGACATGTGAGTCAAAACCCAGGAATTCAGAAATAAACATTGTGTCAATGTGCAACTCGATTAGAAATGCATAAACATTATCCTTTCTTTAAGCCTCACTGAGCAACAACTAGCAGTTAAAAACAAAACAAAACACCTTCCCAACCCCACACTCATCCTTACTTCAAATGATATTATGCCTAGGAACCAAGCATGCATACTTTCCAGAAATATGCCTGGTATACTTCCTTCTCTGGTCTAAAGGATAGTCAATAAAAGTGTACAATTAAAAGTTTATGTTGCAAGAACTGGAACTAACCAACTTATTATGCTTAATATCTCTAGGCTGAACTGATAATGACAAATCACTATAGCATCAGACATGAATGGATATGCCAGGTGCCCATAACAAAAGGGATCTTTTTCAAAGGAATACCCAACTCTTTCAGTATTCATATTTCTGCTAAACCAGCCTATTTTTGTCCTTTCTATAGGCCCCTGCTTCCCTTTGAAGTTCATCTTTCTCCTACTTGCTGAATCACTCTGCCAGCTTATTATCCTGTACCTGGACATTCTTTTTCTCTAAAACCAGAGAATCTAAGTAACACATCAAGATTCCCTCTTCTTTCTTCTTGAGAACCTCCTTAAGGCCCTTACAATCCTGAAGACAAAATCATCCAGCTATATTTATTATTCAGAATTTACTGCTATCACTAAATGATGCATTACTTTATATTAATATTGCTATATTGCTTCCCCTTGATTACCATCAGATTAAAATTGTTAGCCTAACATTTTCAAGGTTCTTATATTGTATGACTTTTTTTGTGTGTTCAATTTTATTTTTATAATATCGATTTTTTAATGCTTATGATTTAAAATTAACCCATTTATATTTATTATAAGCAGTGCTGTTTGGACAACTTTTCTTACTTGATTTTTTACCATACCTCCCTCTAGTTTGTGCTTTTCTTGTTCTCATCTTTGCCTTTTCTTAAACTGAGAAAGTTTTCTTTGTCCAGCTTCCTGCCATCTTAGTGGTCTGCAAACCATAAACACGATTTAATTCTTATTAACTTTAAAAATTTAAGATCATGTATCTAAGACCTAAGTATTCAAAATGAACACCAGCCATTAACTTGCATCAAATAATCCTTTATTTCTGAACTTTTTCTGATTTCTCATTTTCACACTTGTAAACTTAAGAACACGAATTCTTCACTCGTTATCTGAAGGAGTAAATGTGATGCTAGGTGAAGCGCCAGTCTTTATCAGTAAGTCTTCAATTACTTGCACCCTTTCTTCATTGAGCCAAGAAACTTCTAGTCCGAAGTACACAATCATCTTTGTCCTCTTTTGTCCTTCAAAGTCACCTTCTCTTTCATAACACTTGCATCATAATTGGTCTTCGTCTATTTTTCCAATTTCTTTGTAAGTCTCCAAACAACTTCTTACTCTTCCCTACACAAAAAGTCACATTGCAGTGAGGGGTCTTTTCTGCTTTGGATTTAACGCACATCAATTCCCACAGACTCGATGTCTTTCTTCATTTACCCTTCAAAATGGCGGACTTAAACGCTCTTGATCAGCACCACGTGCGCCTGCGCCTCTCGCGGCCATTTCACCCAGCAGCCCCAGCTCCCGACTCTGCTCGCCCAGACGCATGCGCAGGAGCTTCCAATGCACGGTCGCTCCTCCCCCTAGCTGAGTACGCCTGAAACCGCACGTCCCCTCGGCTCCCCTCCCCCGCAGACTTCGTACGGCCCTCACCCCTTTCCTGTGAGATTCCTCCGCCAAGTGGAAGGCTCGTCTTCGCTCGACAGCCTACGCACGTGAGGAGCAATCCAATAGGCACTTGCAGCCCCTGATCTCTGTTTATACTCTCATCTGTGCGCCATAGCAATTTCTCTCTGGCCCCAAAGTTGATAGCCGATTTCGCGGGACTTCTTTTGCATACTGTGAGGCAACAAACGGAAAGAATGGGCTTGTGGCGGAGGGATCTCTCGCTTACGTTCCGAGTACTTTAACCTAATGGGGGTCGGCGGGGAGTCGGGAGGGTGGGGGAGGGAGGAGGCAGCCAAGGAATTGTTTTTTTCTCTCGCCCCGCCCTCACCCGGCTGGCCAATAGTGACGGGCCGTTATCCCACAAGCCTCGCCCAGCTCCGGCGACTCAGCCAATGATCAGCGGAAGCGGCTCCAGGGGGGCGGATCTATGAGGCTGTGCGTGTCTTGTGAGAGCTCTCGAACCAAGTCAGAGCTGGAGTCGGCTGGGCGGCTGGGAACGGTGGCTGCTACCGTGGGTGACTCAGGGAGGCGGGAGGCGGGGTAAGAACGCCGCGGCCTCGGCTGCGGAGAGAGAAGGAAGAATGGTGAAGGTGCTAAGCCCGGGCCCCTCTGCCCCGCTGGTTTCTCCCAGGCCTGGGCGAGGGGCTCCGGGGTTTCGGCGGCCCGGAAGCTGGGGGCGGGGGGCAGAGCTGCGGGGCAAGTGCGGAATCGTGAGCGCGTTCTCTCCCCGTGGGGCCGCCCGGGGCGGGAACCGGGCCGCCTGGGACGGGCTCTCGCCATTGGGAGGGGGGCTTTTCTTTTCTGGGGTGAGGGGGGAACACTTTGTGATGCCACTTGAGCTGTAGATAATTCTCCTCTCACTCCCTTCTTACGTTCAGCTCGAAGGTTTTGGAAAAGGGAAACTTGGTGGAGCGAGGGTCACGCGGCGCTTGGGCCCGTGTTGTCGGTGGGGGAGGGACCCGGGGGGCTATTGGGGTGCAGAGTCCGCCTGGGGTGGGGTCCTCGGTGCTAGGTGGGTGGGGATCAGGCTATCGGTCCCGTCCGGTCCAGTTGAACCACCTCCTGGACTCAGCCTCTCTTCTCGACTCCCCTCCCAGCGGCCGCCCCCATCGCATTTTGTTTTTGTGTCTTTTCAGGGAGGAGCCCTTCCTGCCGGCGTGGAAACCATGGTGCTCACGCTCGGAGAAAGTTGGCCGGTATTGGTGGGGAAGCGATTCCTCAGTCTGTCCGCGGCCGACGGCAGCGACGGCGGCCACGACAGCTGGGACGTGGAGCGCGTCGCGGAATGGCCCTGGTTGTCCGGGACCATTCGGGCTGTTTCACACACCGACGTTACCAAGAAGGATCTGAAGGTAAAAACCGTCCCCGGGGCTTTGGCAGCCGGACATTTCGCGGTTACCTTGGTAACGCGACCATCGGCCCCCTTCCTCTTTCTCGTCCCCTCTCTCTCTTTATTTGAACGGCGATCAGAAAGTTGGCATCTGATCTGAAGGTGCAGAAAACTAGACCTTGAAAGTCTTTGAAATGGTTGTGTTAGAGCCGAGGTGTGTTTGGCCTAGAGCTCTTGCCTGCCTGCATTTAATAATGGGCTCAGGGTTGTTCAGACACGCTTCATTAATGCCAGCGCTGGGCCCCACTGGGACTCTGATTATTTCCCCTAAGGGAGGGCTATTGTTACTAGTAGTAGGTAGGGCAGGTGGGTGACATTTGGAATCATGAAGTATCGAAGGCTAGGGACTGGAGGTTGTTTTCAGAGATAATTTTTTTTTTTTGGATTGGTTTCTCCTTACCTTTATTACCAAACTTATCTCCCCCGGGCCCCCCTCCAACTTTTTGACTTATTAAAAACAAAGTGAGTGGTGAGGGAGGAGGTAAGTTTGGTTCGGCCTTTGAGGGTGGGTTAGATCTGGAGTGGGCAGTTGGTTGGCTGTAGATGGATGGAGGGGTATGACCATATATGGAGGGCCAGGGTGGAGCTGTCCTGTATTTGTTGTATTGGAGGAATAGCTTTGAAATATTGTACTTGGTGCCTGCAGGAGAGAAGGGAACAAGTGCCACCAGTGATTTTTAAAATCCTAAGTGCACTCCACAACCTTTTTCAGTTAGATCTTTTGAAAGAGGAATGAATTCTGATTGTACTTTCCAATAGAAATATTGGTGTGAAAAGATTGTCTGGAAACAACCAGTGGGGAAGCCATTGTGCCAACAAAGACTTCTTTGTGCAAAAACATCTGAAAAAAGATCTCTAACAAAGGCCCCAAAGTGATGATAACTTGAAGGAAGCTCGTCACAAGAGCTTAGATTTCCACCCTGAGTAATGTGTTTCATGCTCGTGTCCTTTGCTTTTTCTTGAAAGCTACTCAGAGGAAACAAGTTATAGCATTGGGAGTGAAATAGATGTTGCTTACTCTGGAACATTGTTCATTTGAACACTTTCAGAGTGACCGTGCATGCCAACACCAGTATGAATCTGCAGGAGATTTGGGAAAACCATATGTAATTATGGATTTTTAAGTTCCTGTTCTGTGCCCTTTCTTCATGTTGAAAGAATGACCACTGCTTATCTGCATGCCAAGCATCATTTTGATCACTTAACGGACATAATCTTACCTAATCCTTACAGCAGAGTTTGGGGTACTAAGTACATTTATTGTAATTACAGATGAAGATACTTTGGGCTAGCAGGGCCACCTGGGAATTAGTACAACCTGTTTTCTAACCCAGAATGATTTATTCCAGAGGCTGCCCTAACTTGACAGTTAGTGTGACCCAGCGTTCTGCCATATCCTTCATTCCATTTATTCTACTAAGTCAGGTTTTCATCTTTATACAGCCAGTGTGCAAGGATAGCCAACCTACTTGGGCTTTGTTGTAATTTCAGTCATGCTTGTGGGTTATTTCTCTTGCCAAATAAGAATTGTTTGTTTTATCGGATTTGAATGGAAATGATGTTTAAACTTTATAAGTCCTCAGTTCTTTGGAAGATGACAAAAGATAGATGTTGCCGTCTTTTACTGTATTGAGAATGGTTGGTTAAAGCTTGTTGTTTAAGGAAAAGAGGTCCTTAACATGCAGTCTTTTTCAACTCCATGTTCCTATTTCTAACCTTTGGGCAGGTTCCTCATTCATTTCAGAGGAACTGCTTTCAGGAAAAAGACTGATGCAGACTTGCATAATTAGCTACTTAATGATGGAAGGATGATTTGAATCCAGGTGAGGCACCTGGAGACACTGACATTTCAAGAACAGTTTTGGTTTTGTTGGAATTCTGCATTACCCACAAACTTCATTCACAACTCAGCTCTGTTTTTCTAATTATGATTTATGACTACATCTTCTCTTCTAAACATGGTTTGTCATTGCATCCCTTAGTTGAATAGGAAAAGTAATTGGCTTAATCTTAGGTACCATGTTGTGTTTAACAATAACAAAAAAAGGATTTTAAAATTCATTTCACAGCCTGGCACCCCGTGGCTCACGCCTGTAATCCTAGCTACTTAGGAGGCTGAGATCTGAGGATCGAAGTTGAAAGCCAGCCTGGGCAGGAAAGGCCGTGAGAATCTTATCTACAATAAAGCACCAGAAAACAGGAAGTGGCACTGTGGCTCAATTGGTAGAGTGCTTGCCTTGAGCTGAAGAGCTGAGGGACAGTGCCCAGGCCCAGAGTTCAAGCCCCATGATCGACAAAAATAATAAAATTCATTTCACTGTACTCAGTGAAATGCAGGTAGGAACCAGGGAACTGAGATCATTTTTATATCTAGGCTTAGGGAAATAAAATTTTTTGGTGAATGGGGCTGTGATAAATATGAATAAATAAAACTCAGGTAGTATACAACTATTCTTTTGGTAGTCCAAATGTTCTTTTATTAGTCCAAATACAAGTCTGTCTCGACTGGCTTGCTTAGTTGATACTGAATGTTAAGAGAAAGACTTTGTAACAGTTACTTAGAAGACAAAGCAATAACTCCCCCCCCCCAAAAAAAAAAACCCAAAATGATAGATGGTTACAGAGGTAAAATTGAAATACAGTAACAGTAGGAATAATGATTAAATGAGTAATATGCATCAAGATTCCTTATTTAATTCTTACAAGCGTCATATTTAGTAAGATGTACTTTTTAGTGTAGGAAATTGAGACTCAAAGAATTAACTTACCCAAGTTTGTCTCCTGGCCTTAAAAGGCTGGGTTTTAATATTCAGATTGAGTAGAGCACTTAATTTTACTAGCTTCTCTCTAGTACCTAAGAATACTGCTTGGCATGAAGTGTGGCCACAAATAAGTAAATACCTTACAGTATCTTCTAATATGAAGTAGTAGAAGACTACTATGAAGAAGTAGTTTAGAAGTAATATATGATGGGGCAATGGCATTTTCTACATTAGAGTAACAGGTCTTAATTAAGTAGGATTGTAAGGACCTACTCTTTTGACTTGAGTGTAAAGCAAGCTGCTTTGTTCACTTGAGTTGGGATGCCCTCTCACCAACTTACCTATAAGTCTTTATCTTCCTTTGTGCCTTTTCCTTGAGTGTTTCGTCACTTTAGTTCTTCGAGGTATCTTTGGCAAATAAATAGCTTTTATTTTCTATAGTATACCATTTTTTACTATTGGCAGCAATTAGGTGCTTTCTCCAATTCTTGCCTTTCATTCGATACAATCAAAACAAATACTGGTGATTTCTATTGCAATCAAACTATGCAAAATTAGAAGCTTCTAGTATAATGTAATATAGTAAAAACTGTTTACTTCTTATAATTGAATGCCATACTTTGAGATTTTAGACAAGCATTTTCTTTTGGAATAAGAAAACAAGAATTAAATTTTAGGCTGAGGTGTGATATATATATAAGAACTTCAAAACCATGCTCTGTTTCCTACTTTTGAACTTTGAAACATTTCCCTTGACATTTCTGATGTCTTCATAATCCAATTTCATCTCAAAAGTGAAAGATGGTTGAAAGGTTTTGAGATTAGTTTGATTAAACAATAAATAATTCATGTATCAAAATATCTAGTTTGAACTGTCCAACATACTATTAAAACATGTATGTCAGTTAACCATAAATATGTACTAGAAAGAAAATGTCACAAAACTAGAATAATTTTCAAGGGGACTGGTGGAGAGAAATTCATAAGAGAAGGCTTCTTGAGCAAAGGATTCATGAAGTTCTGACAGATTAGTGAAAGTTTTTTTAGTAAACTGAATGTTGAAAAGAGATAGGAATGATATGTCTGTGAATTTGTAAACAGATTTGATACGTAATAGGTTTATTAACCTTTAAAACCAAAAATAAGAAGCCTTTTCATAAAAAGAATTTTAAATAAAAATAGTGATTTTTCACATTGAATTTGAGTTTATTAAAATCTGTCAATACAAAAAAATACTGAAGAACTAGAATAAGAGGTAGCATATTGATAAGAGTTAGCAAGAGAGGATGTTTTTGCCCTGAACAGTTTACTGATGGAGGGTTTTGTGGGGTTTTTCCTTTTTTGTCTTTAAAATAGAGTTATACAAATTGTAAGTGTTGTAACCAAAGGTATTTTGCAAATCAGAAGCAGCAAGCATCACAATTAATTAGAAAACTACTACTTCATTGCAGGTAGCTCAGTGGTTAGAGTATTGGGCTAGCATGCTAGAGCCCTGAGAGTTCATCCCATGGATGGAGAAACTAGAGGTAGTTCTGGAATAGTTTGGGTCATTAACTAGATTTTCTCTTTTAGAAAATAAGTAGCTTTAGGCTCTCAAAATGAGTGTTGAAAATTGGCGATATATTAGGCGTTGTGCTAAATCCTGATAGGAGAGGAGTTTAGAGTTATATAAGGGGGATAAAAAGTTTGGGTTTCTAAGTGTACTTGCTGTGTCAACAGAATTACAGTGTGATATGGAAAGTACTCTTTGAGTTTTAAATTGATTTCCTCACTGACACATCTAACATATGCAAAACACTTTTCACGCTGGTGTTATGTTTGTTTAAAAACCCTGGGAGCCAAAGCTGGGTGCTAGTTCCTTATGTAGAAAAGTTAGGGAACAAGAAGGGGGAAACACAGCAGATTTAGGCTTCCAGTAAAATAATAATGGTACAATTCAACTTCATTTTAATGTATCCATTTTTCTTAACTGACTCTGTTATCTTATTGTTTGTGTAGGTGTGTGTGGAGTTTGATGGGGAATCTTGGAGGAAGAGAAGATGGATAGAAGTCTATAGCCATTTAAGGAGAGCATTTTTAGTAGAACATAATTTGGTCTTGGCTGAGCGAAAGTCGCCTGAAATTTCTGAGCGAATTACTCAGTGGCCTGCAATAGTGAGTAAAGCTTGGGCTTTATTAAACTGATAGAGCATTTCATCCATTTTGGGGGGAACAAGGAAAACCTATGTGACATGCCTGTATCTAGACCACAGGGAGACAGTAGTCTACATGATTGACAAAAAAGGGCATGCTTAGACTCTGTTGGGAGCTCTATGACTGTGGCAGGTCTCATGGCTTTCCTACAGCCTTTTCTTCATTCGAAAAACAGGATGGAGGTAATTTGGGGTATGTCTAGGTTAGATGTCAGAAACCATTAGTTACACAAATTTAAGATCTACTTGGTTTAGCCTTAGTAGTGTTCTAAGATTTGAGTGCGTGACCTAATATACATTTCTAGTGTCTATTGTAAACCACAGGATAGCTTCCCACTGTGTGTGCCACTCTGTATGGCAGCAGTGGGCTGTAAGCTGCATAGAAACCATCATTGCCCTTGAAGAGTTCCTAGTTTTGATCTCATGATGCCAAAAGTTCCTATTGGCAAAGAAAAATTGGGACTCGAGACACACTTAAATCAGTGTATGATTGTGCCTGTAAGGCATTTCAAGTCTGCTCAGTTTGCATCAAAGAATGATCACTGTCTGGAAAGGACAAAGCAGGATTTATGGAACGTAAGCGAAGGTGTGAACAAGGAAGATTCAGGTAATACAGAGTTGGAAAAGCTGGAGATTTTTGAATGATAGAGGTTTGTGGTTAAAGTTGTAGTTTGTTCATTGTAATTTCTTTTTTCCCCAGTTTTAAAGAATTTTCTAAAGACAGCCTCATCCTAGCAAAACATACATGTTTTGTTTTTTTAAGTAAACATGGATGTGTAGAAATGTATGTTAATGGTGCCCAAGTATGTATCTGGCTAAAATTACTGGGTATAAATAAAAATCATGTGATCTTCAGACTGCATAATTGTTATAGAATCCTTGCAGTAAAATCTTAATGACTTTTGTTATTTTATGTCTGTGTAAAATTGCCAAAGTGTTTTGTTTTGGTTTGTTCTAGATGTATAAATCTCTGTTGGACAAAGCTGGTTTGGGATCCATAACTTCTGTTCGATTCCTAGGAGATCAGCAAAGTGTATTTCTTTCCAAAGACCTTTTAAAGCCCATACAGGTAAAAAAAACAAACATGAATAGTATTAAACCATAAAAGTAGAAATACAGTTTTTTAACATGAGAATAAATTTGTGCTGTCTGTTTGGAGTTGACAAGAAATACTAAAGTTGATTGTGAATGTATGGAAACATGTAGGCAATAGGAAAGTAATTTTTCAGAGTTTACATTTATATGTATAAATGAGCACATAAACATACATTCATATATAGTGTCAACGCTTAGGATTCATGGGTTTATGTTTATGAATTTACCTACTTGCTAAAATACATTTTTGATATAAGGGATTATACTCAAGGTCTTGTGCTTGCTAGATAGGCACTCTACTTTAGGTAGGCCTCCAGCCCTCTTGCACTGGTTATTTTCAGAGTGGAGTCTGGATTTATATCCAAGATGCCTTAGGGTGTGATATGTTTCCCCACATCACTGGGAATGACAGCCATTGGCCTTCCCCTGTAGTGTGTTAACAGCTAGTTACTAGGGCCTCATTCTTACTTGTCTTGTTTACAACTAGTTCTATACCACTTGAGCCTCCTCAACTCTATCCACAATTTTTTTTTTGGGTCCAGTCGTGGGGCTTGTACTCTGGGCCTGGGTGCTGTCCCTCAGCTCTTCAGCTCAAGGCTAGTGCTCTACCACTTGAGCCACAGTGCCACTTCTGGCTTTTTTCTTTTTGCTTATGTGGTGCTGAGGAATTGAACCTAGGGCCGCAGGCATGCAAGGCAAGCGCTCTACCACTGAGCCACCTTCCCAGCTCTCCTCAACTCTAGTACCAACATTTTGCTAGTAATTGGGATGGAGTCCTAAGGACTTCTTTGGCTGGGCAATGGTGGCTCATAATCCTAGCTATTCAGGAGGTTAAGATCTGAGGATTGTACATTGAGGGCAGTCTCTCTTAACGCCAGTTAAGCAGCAGAGCCAGAACTGGAGGTATGGCCTAAATGGTATAATACCAGCCTTGGATTTAGGAAGCTAAGGACAGTACCTAAGCCCTGAGTTCAAGCTGCAGTACCAATATGAGGAAAAAAACAAAACAAAAAAAAGTGACTGTTCTGCCTGGGCTGGCTTTGAATCTCAGTCCTCTAGTCTCAGCCTCCTATATAAATAGCTAGGATTACAGACATGAACCACCGAGTACCTGGGTACTTTTACAAACTTTGTGTTCAGTCTGGTCTTAAACCCTGATTCTCTTGATCTCCACCTCTAAAGTAACTAGGATTACAGGCTTTCCTGTCACATCCAGCCAAATTTAATTGTAACCAAGACTGATGTATGTGGTAGCTCACCTACTTTTGTAGTCTTGGCCCACACACAATTTGAGTTGCCTAATGCAGATTTTCAGTAGAACTCAAGGTAAATATACTTCTACCTTCTGTTTAGTTCTCACACTATAAACACACACGTCATTTTTCTGCTTATTTATTGCCACAGTTTTGTATTTTGTGTGTGTGATTTTACTGATATTTGTGTATGTGTGTGAGATTATGATTTTATTATTTAAAATGACTTCCAAAGTAGGATTGAAATGGGCTGTTTGGTGTTCATAAGTGCAAGCAGGCTGTGTTAGATAAGTGAGTTTTTAGTGCTTTGGGCCATAATTTCAAGGGTGATGAATCAGCACAAGGCATCCTTAAACAGAAAACAAGGTGGTTATATATTGATAGTTGATGAAAATGTGGTCAGAGATTCACAGGCCTAAGTATCATTTTTCAGTATTTGCTAGTTTAGCTTTTTTTTGGTGGGGGAGGGCGGCAGTCATGGGGTCAGCCTGGGTGCTGTCCCTCAGTTCTTCAGCTCAAGGTGAGCACTCTTCTGCTTGAGCCACAGTGCCACTTCTGGTTTTCTGGTGGTTTATTGGAGATAAAGAGTCTCACAGACTTTCCTGCTGGGGCTGGCTTTTTGAACCATGATTCTCAGGTCTCAGCCTTCTAAGTAGTTAGGATTACAGGTGTGAGCCACTGGCACCCGGCTAGTTCAATATGTCTTTTACAGCTTTATGAAACAACTAAGAATGACATTTGACAGTATACATATATTCTTTCCAGTTGGCTCATAAACATCTTTTTCTTAACATTTAGGCTATTGGGTCTCTTGATTTATATATATGACTTAGGAAGCTATTGGGAGAGAATCATTACCTCCAAAATAGTGTTGGTTTTGTAGTAATATTCATGATACTTATTAATCCTTCTTACCAACTTGTGATTTGTGATTTCAGGTCTGTCTTACACCTGTAATGTAGAATTATTAAGCCTCCCTATTTCTGAAAGATAACTTTTGTGAAGTAGCTTCTGGATTACTGAATCTTTGTTGGAAAGCCCAGTTCACTTGTTTTGTCTCTACTTGCATTCACTTTTACTTCCTCATCCTGGGAGTGAGTAGAAACAAGGCCTCTAATATAATTTCATGTGAACTTTATTTTGTAATGTTTGTATAGTTGGAACAAAGAAGGATGCTTTTTACCTAAGTTAGATTCAGATAAAAGTTATCTTCATATGTTCACTAGACATCTTAATGTTTTTTCTGCCTTAACTGGTAGGAAAATTTGTTCTTATGGACCAAGAACATGTAGCAGTGTTGTGGAAGTTTTTACTGAATTATATTTCTTAGCATTATTTCAGTATTTACATTTTTCATGTGTCCAAGCTTTGCAGTTAAGCTAGAGCTCTTAGTTTTGTTTTCTGTGGTTGAAAAAGAACAATCTAGGTTAGTATAATTTTTTTGTTTTTCTCAGGAAGGAACAGTATGAGCTATCAGCTTGAATTTTGTGTAATAGAAATATATGATTGGATGCTTTACTCATAAGATTTGGTCAAAGTTCTCTTTAGGCTTCTTCTGTATGAAAAGCCATGTTGGAGGATATGATTGTCTTGTAGGATACTTGCTCTGAGTAATGCAGATAACCTCTGAAAAAATTATTTGGCTTATGCAAAAGTTGGAGTTGAAACTTATGGTCTGCCTTTAGATTATATTTGATTCAAGTATATGGATAAGGAAAAAGACAGGTGTCTAGTGCCTGGCCATATATAATGAGCTCTAAAACTCAGGCAAGCTAGAATTATTGTCCTTTATTAACGAATCCTGTAGCGTACTTTCCATTAACATATTGTTTTATCTTGCGGTAGGAGAATCCAGTGGAAGTTTTTTAAACCGTTGCAGGAATAAGTGAATGAGAAAACCCTCCACAAATTCATGCATGACCCATTCTGAGAATTTGGAGCTTTTTATGGAAACTCTGTGTCTATCTGCTCTTACTTGGCTAAAGAAATGCATTTTTCAGACATGATCCCCTCTCTCCAAGAGACTAGGTTTTTTTCATTCCTAATCAGTGAACCATTCTTGGCCACTGTGTAACCATTTCACAGTGGCAGGAAAGCGTGGAGTCCTCCTATTGGAACATGACTGTTTAAGCTCTTTTTTTTTTCTTTGCCCTCATAGAATTTGGGTTTGGCAGGTTATTTCTATTGACAGTTTCTGTATACATTTATCATAACTGGGTGTGCACACAAAACCAGAAGACTGTGGAATACTGCCAGGCATGGAGCTACTGCCAAGAACGGAGTGTTTCAAAACTTGCTTACTCTGAAGCCCTAGCTATTCATTCACATTTTCAGTTGGGCCATCTTCCTTAACTTTTGTAAAGAAGGAGGCTTTTGGAATAGTAGTTTGGTTAAGTGAAAGTTGTATGAAGTAAATTGTTAAAAGTAATTTCCACAAATTGACAGTATACACCTTCTCCTATGCCTACTACTGTGTCTTTTGCCTCTTGGACTTGAATGAATTTGTGGCTTTTACATCCTTTGTGTTTGGGACAGTGTGTGTGTGTGTGTGTGTGTGTGTGTTGAGATTTAGATTGGTCAGTTCAGTAAAGTTCCTATTATTTTCCATAACAAAAATTATATCATGCCTAAAATTATGTTTTGAGCTACTCTTAATATTTCCATGTTCCTAATTCAGATTGACTTATTTCTTCAGTCTGCCTATATGTTTTAAGGTTTTTGACTTTTCAACCTATTGAATTCACTGGAGTTGTATAGCTAGATACCATCAAATGGCTGATACTCTGTTTACCCATTTCCAAAAATCAAAACATGTCTACTGGAATTTTAAACAAAGTTTCTTACTGTATAATGATTTTTGATTTTTACAGGATGTAAATAGTCTTCGGCTTTCCCTTACTGATAATCAGATCATCAGTAAAGAATTCCAGGCTTTGATTGTAAAACATTTAGATGAAAGCCACCTTCTACAAGGTATGTGTGTGATCTCCTGTTGGTTATAGTTTATGAGGTGGCCAGTGATTAGTTTTTTAGAGGATAAGGTTTAGCCCCTTTCATCGTTTTTTTTTGTTTGTTTGTTTGTCTGGTGGGGCTTGAACTCTGGGCTTGGGCGCTGTCCCTGAGCTTTTCAGCTCAAGGCAAGCGCTCTACCACTTGAGCCAAAGCACCACTTCTGGTTTTCTCGTGGTTTATTGGAGATGAGTTTCATGGACTTTCCTGCTAGGGCTGGCTTTGAACCTCAATCCTCAGATCTCAGATTCTCCTCAGTAGCTAGGATTACAGGCATGAGCCACTGGCGTCCAGCTGAAATTGGAAATTTCTTGTGTTAAAAATCAAAAATGTAAAATAACTATTAGTTGCTTTCTGCAGATGACTTGAAGAATTTAGTTAATCTAAACCCTCTGAAATTTGAAAAGTTGAGAAGTTAAGTAAAAGTAGATTATTATTTTTTTTTTTTTGGTCGGTCGTGGGGCTTGAATTCTGGGATTGGGCGCTATCCTATCCCTCAGCTCTTCAGCTCAAGGCAAACACGCTTGAACCACAGCACCACTTCCAGTTTTCTAGTGGTTTATTGGAGATACTTTCCTGGTCTGGCTTTGAACCGTGATCCTCAGATCTCAGCCTCTGAGTAGCTAGGATTACAGGTGTGAGCCACTGGGCCTGCTTAAAAGTAGATATTTTAAAAGCTTATTTACATTTTGACATAGAATTTGATGTGGTTGGAATTTCAGTCTTATAAAATTGGTAAGATAGCCAGGGGCCAATTGTTCATGCCTGTAATCCCAGCTACTCTGGTAGCTGAGATCTGATGGTCACATTTTAAAGCCAGTCTGGTCAGGAGGTCTGTGAGATTCTTATTTCTAGTTAACCAACAAGCAGATCTGTGGCTCTAGTGGTAAAGCCCTAGCCCTGAGCAAAAAAGCTTAGGGACAGCACCCAGGCCTGAATTTAAGCTCTTGGACCTTCACCTAAAGAAAGAAAAAAAGGTGGTAAGGCATTTATTTGTAACCTGTATCCTACTTACTGTTACTGAATTTCTTAGTTTCATAGTCCTTTTTTTTTGGTTGTGGGTCTTGAACTCAGGGCCTGGGTGCTGCACTTGAGCTTTTCTGCTCAAGGCTAATGCTCTACCACTTTGAGCCACAGCTCCAGTTCCAGTTTTCTGAGGTTTAATTGGAGATAAGATTTTCCCACAGGCTTTGAACCATGGTCCTCAGATCTCAGCCTCCTGAGTAGCTAGGATTACAGGTGTGAGCTACTAGTACCCAGCTTCATAGTCTTTTTTTTTTTTAGTCAAACTTAGCATTTTTCTTGGGATTCTTAAATTTGCTATTTCTGATTAATTGCTTTGAATACTTGAACACTTCTTGGTCTGATACAACATGCTAGAATAAATGTATTGCTATTATGAGTTAAATCTGTAGGAAATGGAGATTTTAAAAAAAGTTTACAGTTTCTACTAACTTGGCAGAAATGTCTGTTTTTTGGGTTTTTTTTTTTTTTGTTGTTGTTGTTTTGTTTTTGTCGGCTGTGGGGTTTGAACTCAGGGCCTGAGTACTATCCCTGAGTTGCTTTGCTCAAAATTAGTGCTCTATTACTTTTAGCCAGAGTGCCACTTACGTTGTCTAGTGGCTAATTGGAGTTAAGAGTCTAGCAGGCTTTGAACTCCAGTCCTCAGATCTCAGCCTCCTGAGTAGCTAAGACTAACGGCATGAGCCACCAGTCTTTTTTTTTTTTCCTGTGGGTCCTGGGGCCTGTACTCTGGGCTTGGGCTCTGTCCCTCAGCTCTTCAGCTAAAGACTAATTCTCTACCACTTGAGCCACAGTGCTACTTCTGGCTTTTTCTGTGATGCTGAGGTATCGAACTCGGCCTCATGTATACAAGGCAAGCACTCTACCACTGAGCCACCTTCCCAGCCCCAGAAATGTCTGTCTTATATTAAATTTTTTATATAAAAAAAGATTTTAATGTTCACTTTTGTCTACTGCATTAAAAAAGATTTGGGAATAGATGGTCTTCCATTACGATGCTTGTGGGAAATAATGCAAATGGCTCTAAGCACTTTTTTCTTTTTTAGGTGATAAGAACTTGGTTGGTTCAGAAGTAAAAATCTATAGCTTGGATCCATCTACTCAGTGGTTTTCAGCAACTGTTGTAAATGGCAACCCAGCATCTAAAACTCTTCAAGTCAACTGTGAGGAGGTAAAGACAGTAACTTGAATTAAGATCATTTACTGGGCAACATAACTATATAAGAGATACGTGACCTTCTGGGTATTAAACCCTTACTTTATAAAATGTTAATGCAAAAGTAGAAATGATTAAGAACTGGGAGGCAGGAGGCAGGGATGGCAGTCAGGAGTTCCTATTCAAGTTAATATAAATGTTTTAAAAGGATATTGTAAAGTACCCTATTGTTAGGATACTAGAACTAATTTTTAACATATTGCTATTTAATTTTCCAATGTCGCTTTCATTTTTAAGATTCCAGCACTGAAAATTGTTGATCCAGCACTGATTCATGTTGAAGTTGTTCATGATAACTTTGTGTCATGTGGTAAGATGCGTTTTTGAATACAATGTTTCTATATCTTCTCCTTTCCCCTCACATTAAGTGGAACAGGGAAGCCAGCTTAACTCTTTATATATATTATAGGTAATTCTACAAGAATTGGAGGTGTCAAACGCAAGTCTTCGGAGAATAATGGAACCTTGGTTTCCAAACAAGTAAAGTCTTGCTCTGAGGTAACCGTGATCTATTTTTGAATTTGTTGAAGCTTTCTTTACAATTGCATGGCCAGTCTTTGGAGTAGTTGCATAGCTGTTTGTTCTACGCTTCTGTGCTGTCCTGTCAGTTTTTTATTGTAAGTTCCAGATCTTGGCCATAATTTCTACACTCAAGCAGATGGAGATAATATAAGTCTAGTTTCCTTTTTTTTTTTTTTGTAAAAGTGCATTTTGTGGCATTTAATGGAAATTCCCAGATGTGACAGTTTCACCATGTGGGGGGTTTTGAACGTAAATTAAGTTGTGTGTATTAAGAATGCCTGGCATGAGAAGAGGGGAAGAATCTTAGAATTCTGAAATAGGACCCTTATCCTCTTGATCATTTATGATTAGGTATACCTTTGGGTAAGAAAAATGTAGGCTTCTCTGGACACCATATGGATTCTGTTGATGGGTTTAATTTTCTTCTGAAATAGTTAATATTTAGATCAGGAAACTTCAGTTTGTCCTTCTGTCATAAGGCATAATATACTACAAGCAATTTTTAAATGTAGGAATCCAAAATTGCTAAGAAGAGTACTGCAATATTCTTTACAAAGCTCTGCTCATGATTGGAATTTAGAATTTTAAAGTTGGCCATGATATTGATTTGATAGCATTTGAGGTGGAACCTAAAGGTCTGGGAGTGCAGGGCAAGAAACAAGATGTAGGTTCTAGATCAAGGCCAGGAAAGACCACAGCATTGACTAGAACCAAAGCAAGCACTGTGCTACACAAAGGTCTGTGTAGCTAGGCTGGCTGAGCCTTTTGTTTGTATAGGCAACAGGAACTTTGACTCTTCACTGAGGAGGAATTAACCATAGTGTTTAGAGCCTCTGTCTTCCCTTTCAGGGCCATAGGGTTGACCTCGTTCTTAGGTGAAGGCTCAGGTTGTTCAGGAAAGAATGAAGAGGTTATTATGGAACTTAGCATTATTTCCTTCTATTTTTTGCCTTAATGTGCATGATAAATTCAAACATATCCATCCAAGAAACCAGAAAAAAATTGGCACTTACTATATGCTATCTATTTGATCCTGAGGATTAAGAAGTTATCTAGAATTTGTCTCAAAGAACCTATAGTCTAGAGAGGAAGACACCCTGGTGAGGGTGTGCTCTGAGCAGGAACCGTGCAGCAAGCACCTTGGGAACATGTCCCATTTATTGAGTATAATTGTCAGTGTGTATAGGAGATATGTGAAAAGAGACACACGAAGTTTGAGTTGCTGTGGGAGACAGGTATTGAGGAGTGTTTGTAGACTTAAGTTGAGGAGATTTTAGCTTTGCAGATAATGAATGATGGAAGGAGGTGTTAAACAAGAACACAGGTTCGTGGGATTAGCCATCATAAAAGAGTCTGAAGTGAGGCAGTGAGCTAAAAGGATGGAGAGCTATTTACAGAAGGAAACACTTTTAATTTGGCTTGATAGAAGAATAGACCAAATGCAACGTCTGCTCATAGAATACAATAATTTGTTTTGAAAGCTCAGAGTCATATGGTCAGGTGATCATTTACTGTGTTGAGTAGTCTTCTAGTATAGAAAAGTACTGAGTTTGTAGGAATAGGGATAGCTGTTTTAGAAGGAAACTGAGAATGAAGCTCCAGGGAAGTAGCATTAAAGACTGTAAAAGAATGTTGAACAAGTGATTTCATACTCAGGCCCACAGAATAGGCTTCTGTGTAATCCATTGTTGTTAGAAACCGAGAAAGTAGGTAAATTTTGATAGTAGATAAACTGTTACCAATCTAGAGGGTAGAGGCCAGTAAAGGCCAGTTTGGTCAAGTGTTTTCCTGTTGTGGAAGATGCATCAATGTATATACTTGGTGTGATGAAAAGGAGATTGTATGACATTGAAGGGGTCAGGAAATAGGAATGGCATACTTGTTTGTGTAGCAGAGGAACCAACCTGAGATACTGACAGAACTAAGGTCTTGGGGGAAGGTGCCAATTCTTCAGTGTTGAAGTGATCAATGATGGGAAACGTTATGGAGCCAGATACATTTCTATACCCTTTAAGGAGGTGCTTGTGAAATCTGATACATACATAAGTGATCTCTGTCTGACTCTTGAGTTGAGGGAGCATGTTTTTTTTTCAAATCTATCTCAGCATGTTAATAAGTTTGTGTGCTATTGAATTGACAGATTGTTTGCCATTAGAAGAATAAGCCTAAACTTGGGCCTGGATATTAATTCCATAACTCTGCACTGAAATTGAGAACTGGAATTTCATGTTCTATTTTAAAAGAAATTGGAAGTGATGGATTTTTACCTGGCTATTAAAAGTTTTACAAGTCTCACTTTGTATTATTTCCTAATTTTTGGTTAATCTGGGAAAATGCAAAAAGAAAAGAAATTGTACATCTCAGAGACTCTGTTCATATCTTGCAATATTTTTCTCCTCTCTTTTATATTATGGAGGCCTGGTTCTTTTTTTGTTTGTTTTAGCCTCGATCCCTTGTGAATGTTTTCCCTATTAGCATTCTTTTTCAGTCTGGGTGATTCTTGTAGTCAGGCAAGTTGTGGCAACACTGGCCTGGCGTAGATTTCAAGAGGACTGAAGAGGTAAAGGAAGGTACCAGGGATATGTGGTGTGGGGGAAGAAAAACAGTTAGTGTATATATGAGTGAAAGGTGAGTATAGTAACACATTTGGCGCCATTCTCTGTGTGTGTGGACCCAGACGTGTTGGGCTGGCACAAGGTTTAGCTTTAAAGTGGACTTGTAGGAGTTTGGGAATAGGGAGGCAAGACTCTTGAGGTTAACAGCCAATCTTGTTTGCCAGTGAATCTGGCTCCTTGAAGGTCTTCTCTGCCTAGCAGACTATTTCTCAGAGTTATGACATTGCTTGCTTAATTGGGAAGAGTCTGCTGAGGAGTGTGAGCCAGCAGTGACCTTTTTAGAAAACTGTCATACACTCAATTATATTATCTCCATCTGCTGGCAGGGAGGAACTATTGCCATGACTGGTATAGAAGACCTTCAGGGAAACTCTACAGGTAAGAAGAAATTTTGCCCTTGTCTGGTCACAGGACAGTACAGAAGTATACACCCTTCAAGATGGGTTTGGGAATCAGGAGTCCTGTTCCTGTTTGACTAAATCTTAGGAATGTTGTAGGACACTTAAACAAAAGCACTCTTAAGTTAGACTAGGTATCACGTGGTGACATAACAGCTTTTGTGCTATTTTTCTTTTAAAAATAGCTGATTTTTAGGGCTGAAGATGTGGCTCAAGTGGTAGAGCGCTGCCTAGCAACTGCAGAGCCCTAGTTTAAACCCCATACCATGAAAAAAGAAAAAGATGAGAATGAGAGAATAGCTAGTTCCTTAAAATTTTAATATGCATCAAGCACTGTTATAGAACACAGCCCTGTGATGTATGCTTAATTATTCTTTAGAGAAGTCAGTAATAGGTTACCAAGTGTCAAGAGACTGAACTCAAACCAAGGGAACATAAGGATTCGTTGTTCTTGCCCACTGTGGTGTCACTATTCCCCCAAAACTTTTCCTTCCTCCATTTCTCCTTCTAATGAATATTTACTGAATGTTTCGTATGTGGGAGACAGTGATCTACAGTGCTGATTTACTACTGCTTGTGTCTTCAGGTGACTGGATTAATAAATGACTTATTTATAGCTACCCAACAATATGAAGTACAAACTGCATCCATGCACTCTTTCATTAGATTTGTGTGTGTGCGTGCGTGCGTGTGTGTGTGCGCGCGTGCCTGTGTGCGCGCGCATGAGTCTTGGGGCTTGAACTTAAGGCCTGGGTGCTATCCTTGAGCTTTTTTGCTCAAGGCTAGTGTTCTACCACTTGAGTCATAGCTCTACTTCTGGCTTTTTGGTGGTTATTTGAAGAGTCTCAGGGACTTTTCTGCCTGGGATGGCTTCAAATCATGAATCTCAGATCTCAGCCTCTTGAGAATTACAGCTGTAAGCTACCAATCCTGGCTTCCCTAGTTTTGTTTATTGAACATCTGCCATATATCTGAATGATGAATTCAGGTAGTGGACTCAGGATCAGGACGTCTGCATTGCATTGTAAAGAGACTGAAAGTATAAAAAGATACTTTTATAGTGTGGCAAGTGCTGTGAAACGCGGAAAATGAGGGTAAGGAAGTGGCTTGCTTTGGAACCAAGTTAGCAAACTTGAGAGTAAGTGGGTTGAACCAGCTGTGAAAACTGTTCAGGAAGAGGGAACAGCAAGGTACAAAGGCCATTGTAGAAAGTTCAACCTTGTTTCAGGAGAGGAGGCCAATCAGTGTAGTTGGTGTGTACTGTGATTTGAAGCCAATGTAGTTGGTATACTATAAGTCCAGGGGAGAGGAGGAGGATTAGAGTAGAGATGTGGCAGAATGGGGGCCACATCGGATTCTAGTAGTCAGTGGAATGCCGTGGTCTAAATTGATTGTTTTATAAAGGTTGCTCTGTCGTAGAATATATTTTGGATATGAAGCAGAGGACTAGATCTGTCATCTAGGAGAAAGATGGTGGTTGGGGTGGTATGGAGAGACATGAACACTTCAAAGAATGTATACTTTGAAAATGGAAGCAGAATTTATTGATGTATTTTGTATGTGAAATATGAGATGCAGAGATTTGTTTGAGCAGCTTCATGGACATTGTAGAGAGTAAACATTTACACATAGGTTGTTATCTAATATTTTTTTGTTGGTCATGGTGCTTGAACTCTGGGCTTGGGTGCTGTCCCTGCGCTCTTCAGCTTGAGCCACAGCACCACTTTGATTTTTTTTCTTTTTGGTCGGTCATGGGGCTGGAACTCTGGGCCTGGGTGCTATCCCTCAGCTCTTCAGATCAAGGCTAGCGCTCTACCACTTGAGCTACAGTGCCACTTCAAGGTTTTCTGGTGGTTTATTGGAGATAGGAGTCTCATGGTCTTTCCTGCCCGGGCTGGCTTTGAACCGAGACCCTCAGATCTCAGCCTCCTGAGTAGCTAGGATTACAGGCGTGAGCAACCAGTGCCCGGCACCACTTTGATTTTCTAGTGGTTTTATTGGAGATAAGAGTATCAATGGACTTTCCTGCCGGGCTGGCTTTGAACCGTGATCCTCAGATCTCAGCTGCCTGAAAAGCTCCCAGCTGTGATCTGAATAGTGTAGATATGTTTCTCTCCAGAGAATAATGTAAGGAAAAATATTTGTGCATCAACTCTAAACATTCAAAGTACAGAAGGGGTGGGAAGAAAGTTGCTTGTTAAAAGGAAACCTTAATTTTTTAAGCATTTTTGTAATGATTTGGCAGTTAAACATGGGTACACTAACCTCAGGCGATTGTCACCTGAGGAATGTAAACTAGTATTATTAAAGGGATTTTTAAGTTTTTTTTAAAGGATTAGGAAGCCAACTCAGAGGTAAAGTTGATGAATCCAAGGTATAGCAAACCCCCCCCACCTCCTGTGTAAACAACTAAACAAAAGTATATAAAAAAAATAGGCCTTCTAAAGAAAACACTAAAGTATTATTTAACCAAAATTAGATTAACAAAAAAAGTACAATATTAGATCAGATCAGTATAAAAAATAGTTTTATTACTGGACATTGTAGAACCTAATATTCCCAGTTAAGAGATGGAGATAGGAAGACTGCCAGCCTGGATATCAAGCCCCTATCTCAAAAGTTGAGCATACCTATGGTCTGAACTACCCAGGAGGTGGAAGAGACAAGAGGACCACAGTGGAAGGCCAGCCTTGACAGAGTATGAGATTCTAATTGAAAAGCAAAAAGGAGCTGGACGCCGGTGGCTCACGCCTGTAATCCTAGATACTCTGGAGGCTGAGATCTGAGGATCGTGGTTCAAAGTCAGCCCAGGCAGGAAAGTGTGAAACTCCTATCTGCAATAAGCCACCAGAAAACCAGAAGTGGCGCTGTAGCTCAAGTGGTAGAGCACTAGCCTTGAGCTGAAGAGCTGAGGGACAGCCCTCGGGCCCAGAGTTCAAGCCCCACAATGGACAAAAAAAAAAAAAATTAGAAAAAAGGACCAACATGTAAAACTATATTCCAAATTGTCAGGTTTTAAAAACTTCCTATGTAACTTTCTAGGTAAATTTTCTATGAAAATTTCTATGTAACATTTTTGAAGTTAATTACTTAAAGATGGGAAAACTGATGATTCTTTTCAGTTTAGATGTGCAAAGGTCAGTTGTGAGGTGAAATGCCTAAGCAAGGCATATTATCTAAGCATTAGTGAAAAGTCCGATAAAGATGGGTAGATTGATTCCACATGCTCAGTCGTGTAGAAGAGATCAACTCTTTCTTCATGGTGGAAAGTTTTACTTTTGTGGAGAGTGTGAACTGGTAAAGAAGTGGTTCTGATACTTAATTTTTTTGAAAAGGGAAGAGAAAGATGTTCATCTTTGTCCCATAGTCCTGTCATGACTTAATATTTTTACAGTGTGGGATGACCCTTATGACTTGGTGAGGCATGCAAGAGCAAGAGCCGTGTCCTTAATCTTTATTGCATTGCAAACGCTTACTGTGACACACAGTAGGTATCACTGCCTACAAGAGTCCTATCTGGTCTGGTCGCCTGCCAGTCTACGCAGTAAGTGCGTGCTGGGTAATCAAGCTATGTCAGAATGAATGCATGTGAAGCTGCCACCATTGAAACTGTCCCTAACAAGTTCACGTCTGTGCATTGTGTTATTAGAGTAATTGTCCCACGTCTTATGTTCTTTCCGGCATAATGATGGGTCTGTAAAAAGATCAACTTGTGATCTTTGATTAGAAACATTTTACATTTTGTGAAAAAGTATAGAGTGGATTATTTCTAAACTTCAATATATGAGTCCTTAATTTTATAAGGTTTATTGCTTGCTTAATGGTGCTAGTCTTTATATGATGCTTGTGTAGTAGTAAATCAAGGACATGATCTTGAATTTCATTAGCACTTCATAATTTCCCAACAAGGGACTTTGCTTTTAATGTCTGTTGGTTTGCTATCTTGTAGGCCTCTCCTAATGTGTGTCCTGTACAGTCTGTGCCTACACCAGTGTTTAAGGAGATCCTGCTTGGCTGCACTGCAGCAACTCCACCTAGTAAGGACCCAAGGCAGCACAGCACTCCCCAGGCTGCCAACTCACCTCCTAACCTAGGAGCAAAACTTCCTCAAGGGTGAGTCTTGCTTCTTAATACATAATCATCACAATCAGTGTAGTAAATCATCATAATGAAATGCATTTTACTCTTGGCTCATTGTCTCTATTTCAGATTGGCCAGGGAGGTGGTGGTAGTGGTTGTTTTTGTAGGCATTCCTAAGAGGAGAGACAGATCAGGTGCCTTTAGAGATAAAATCATGGAAGACATGGAAAGAGCAACGGAGAAAACAGGATAGAAGTGAAGGGCACATGCTTTTTTGACTGGCTGTTGCTCTGAGGAGTGACTGTTGGGTACTCTTAAAATTTGGAGCCTAGTTGTCAGTGTTTCAGGAAAAGGGAGACTGAGATAGGTGTGAGATTGGGGGATGAGGGAGAGTGGCAACAGAGAGGGTTGATAGATGAGATGACAAGTACAGGTAGAAGTGTGGCGGTAGAGGAGATTGTAGGAATAAAAGAAGCAATAAGTACTCTTATTGCAGGTGGTGTGAAAGCAAGAAATGGGAAGTTTAACCAAAGGTTTGAAGTTTAGAAGTTTGAGAAAGGGAAGAACCTCTTAATGGAGGAATGAATCAGATGTGGGTTTGGAGAGCTGAGCACGGTGGTTCCCTAGGAGAAACTTGGGCAGTCTGTGGGGGAGTGTGGAGGGTAGTGACAGTGGACACAGTGTCCAGATGTGGACGATCAGTCATAATAGAAGAGAGAACAGTAGGACTATTTATTAATATCCAAGCAGAGATTTTTAATCTGAATGTTTAAAAAATTCTGTGGATGAAATTCTGGGTTAGAATAGGTAAAAAGAAATGTAATAGAATTAAAAGCTTTAGAATGAATTACAGAGGAAAAAAAAGTTTTTCTGTATATATCACTAATAAGATGTGAGAGGAAATACTCTGTGTACAAGTTCTACCACTTGCTTTGAGCCCTGCCAACTCCTGGTTGCATGTTATTCATAAAAGGACAAGGTTTTTTTTTTGGTCCGGTTGTGGGGCCTGCACTCTGGGCCTGGCCGCTGTCCCTTAGCTCTGAAGAGCTCAAGGCTAGCGCTCTACCACTTGAGCCACAGCGCCACTTCCGGCTTTTTGCTTTTTGCTTATGTGGTGCTGAGGAATCGAACCCAGGGCCTCAGGCATGCAAGTCAAGCGCTCTACCACTGAGTCACCTTCACAGCCCCAAGGACAAGGTTTTTGCTGCTGTATTTGTAGGGTTTGTTTTGATTTGTTTTTTTTCTGCCAGTCATGGAGCTTGGAACTCTGGGTTGGGGCACTGTCACTGAGCTCCTTTTTGCTCAAGGCTAGCCCTCTACCACTTGAGCCACAGAGCCACTTCTGGCTTTTTCTGAGTAGCTTATTGAAGATAAGAGTCTCACTGTATTTCCTATCTGGGCTGGCTTCAACCCATAATCCTTTGATACCAGCCTTGTTAGTAGCTAGGATTACAGACATGATCCATCAGTAATCAGCTCAAAATTTTAATACACATCTTGACATGTTTTTCTAACATGAGATTGAACAAGGCTTGGTAAGAACAAGAATACTAGTTATGTTTTTTAAAATCTAATTTTTGTTATATAAGAAAAGTAAATTCAGCAAAAAAAAAACAACTTAGGGTGATAAGCCTTGACTTTTAATTTTGACATTTTGAAACCAATGTGCTTCTTGATTGCTGAGTGTATATTTTTTTTGTTTCATATAACATTGTTTATTTTTGTGGAAAAGCCAAGGTTCTTTATACTGTAAGAACAGGCAAAGCAGTTGAGGCTTTATGAGAACCTGAATTAGAGTTAAGGATGCCCTTTTTTGAGTGTTCACATACTTGTGCGGAGCCATTGGCTGAACTGAGTGTTGACTCCAGTTTGCAGAGATTACCCTACTTTTTGTTGTTGTTGTTGATGATCGTGGGGCTTGAACTCTGGACTTGGGCACTATCTCTGTTCTTCAGCTCAACTCAAGTGCTCTACCACTTGAGCCATAGCGCCACTTGTGGTTTTCTAGTGGAGATAAGAGTCTCACAGACTTTCCTGCTCAGGCTGGCTTTGAACAGTGATTCTCAGATCTCAGCCTCCTGAGTAGCTAGGATTGCAGGCATGAGCCACCAGCGCCCGGCTTCCCCTACATTTTTTATCATAAGCAGTTTTCTCTTTCATGCTGGTTGAGTCTAAGGAGTCTAACTGCTATTACTACATGAGAAGGAAGTACCTTTGTCTCTGTCTATCTCTGGCTCTCTTCCTCTTCGTCTGTCTGTCTCTGTTTCCCCTTCCCTCTCTTCCTCATTGAAAGAAGTTCTTGTTAAAACTTTTTTCTTTTCTTTTCTTTTTTTTTTTTTTTGGTCGGTCGTGGGGCTTGAACTCTGGGCCTGAGCACTGTCCCTCAGCTCTTCAGCTCAAGGCTAGCATTTTACCACCTGAGCTACAGCGCCACTTCCGGTTTTCTGGTGGTTTATTGGAGATAAGAGTTTCATGGACTTTCTTGCCCAGGCTGGCTTTGAACTGTGATCCTCACATCTCAGCCTCCTGAGTAGCTAGGATTACAGGCATAAGCCTCGGGCACCTGGCTGCTGCTGCTTCTTTTTTTTTTTGGTTGGTCATGGGGCTTGTACTCAGGGCCTAGGTACTGTCCCTGAGCTCTTTTGCTCAAGGTTAGCACTCTACCACTTGGAGTCATGGCTCCACTTCTGGTTGTCTGGTGGTTAATTGGGGAGAAAGAGTGTCATGGACTTTTCCTGCCTGGGCTGGCTTTGAACCATGATCCTCAGAGTAGCTAGGATTACAGGCATGAGCCCAGCGCCTGGCTTAAAGCTTTATCTTTAAGGAGAGTGAAACAAATTACTTTTGGATGATAAGAGAGAAATGAGACTTAGATACTGTTTTTCCCTTATGTTTTTCAGATGTCATAAGCAGAGTTTACCAGGAGAACTTTCTTCGTGTCTCAATACAAAGCCCGAGATACTGAGAACGAAACCAGATGTCATCTGCAAATCAGGATTGCTCTCTTCAAAGTCTTCTCAGGTTGAAACTGCAGAGCCGAAAATTCTGAGTGAGCCCAAAGGTAGCTTTATTCAGCCTAAGACAAACTCTGATTGGGAGAACAGATTGGAATCTCTTCCACGTCCATTGACTGGCCTTCCTAAGGAATGCTTACCTCCAAAGGCTTCTTCTAAAGCTGAATTGGAAATTGCCAGTACTCCCGAACTTCAGAAGCACCTACAACATGCACCTTCCACATCAGATGGCCTTTCAAATAAGCCAGAATTGAAAGCAGGTGTTAAGAGTGATGGCCCTAATTGCTGTGCAGAAAAAAAGATAGTACCTTCAACTTTAGGTTGCCGGTCACAAAACTTAAAGGAAACATCAGTAAAAGTAGATAATGAAAGCTGTTGTACAAGAAGTAACAATAAATTTCAGAATGGTAAGTGTTTCTAAATACTTTTATTGGTAAGATATACACGCAACAGGTTTTTTTGTGTGTGTGACATTGGAATTGGAACTCAGGACTTGGCATCAGCTTGCCCTTCTTGCTGCTGCTGCTCTACCACTTGAGCTATGCTTTCTGCCTGGGCTTGCTTTGAGCCATGATACTTCACAATTGCAGCCTCTTGAGTCCTTAGGATTATAGGCATGAGCCAGTAATGCCTGGCTAACATTTCTTATCTTGTGATTAAACATATGAAAATGACTGTAGAAGGAAATTCAAAGAAGTTGTATTATACAAATGATTAATGTCCTATGAATTTGTACAGTGCCTACTAACATTTTAAAGTTTGACAGGATTCCAGCATATGCATTTGCTTTTTGATTTGGTTCTTGTGAGGTGGATAACCAGGTTTCCAATTGTTTATTATAAGAAAATGTTTTGAAACAATCAAAAGTGATCTGGTGATTGCATTATAGTTGTCACTGTCTCTTTGTAACATCCATGTTGGAGGAGATGGCACCTTGTTTACACAAGTAGCTCAGAGTAAAGGGGTTTGTTTGATGGTCCTCGGGCTTAAACTCTAGGTGTGGGCGCTATCCCTGAAATCTTTTTTGCTCAAGGCTAGTGCTCCACCACTTGAACCAAGGTGCTACTTCTGCTTTTTCCATGATTAATTGGAGATGAGTCTCATGGACTTTCTGCCGGGGCTGGCTTTGAATTGTGATTCTCAGATCTCAGCCTCTTGAGTAGCTAGGGTTATAGGTGTGAGCCGCTGGCGCCCAGCTCAGATTTTAAATCTTCTAAGAAAAATGAGAAGAGGGGGGCAAGGGGTGTGGCTCAAGTGGTAGAGTACCAGCTGAGCAAGGTGGTCAACTGAATGCCTCCTTGCCTGGCAAGGAGAACTTTGAACTGGAGTTCATACCTCAGTAAAAAGAATCTGCGGGGGCTGGGAAGGTGGCTCAGTGGTAGAGCGCTTGCCTTGCATGCATGAGGCCCTGGGTTCGATTCCTCAGCACCACATAGCCAAAAAGAAAAAAAAAAGTGGAAGTGGTGCTGTGGCTCAAGTGGTAGAGCGCTAGCCTTGAGCTGAAGAGCTCAAGCGCCCAGGCCGAGTTCAGGCCCCACGACCGCACCCCAAAAAAAAAAGAATCTGCATCTTTAACGCTGAAAAAGGGGACCTTTGGTTAGTGATGTTGAGGAGATAGCTGCAGCCAAGTCTTCCTTAAAGGGGATATCTTGCTATACTCAACTATTAAAACCTCCTAACCATTTTCTTCTAAAGAAGTTGCTACATTATATTTCATACTACCTGTTGAGCAACCTTAATTCAAAAGTGTAAAATCCTCTATAGTTTCTTTCCAGGGCCCCACACACTCACAACTAGTATGAACTTCTGCACCTGACCTTAACTGGTAGCTTGCAGTCAGAATGTTGTAATGCTAAAACAATTGTGTGAAATCACCTTAAAGGCTGTTTTTTTAAAATGCATATGATAATAGTTGAATTTTGTCTTTAAATTTGGGTCTCAGTATATGTAATAAATAATGCCTTATATATAATAACCCCAATCTATTACAAAGTCAGAAATTTGCAACATTTCTTATGCTAAGCATTTTGGCTAAGGGTTAATCAACCTATACTTTTTATTTAAAGTATGCATTACACTCATTGTAGTTATTAGAAGCTCTTACTAGAATAAGGAGGCCCTGGCTTGTCATACAGGTTTAGAACTGCTACAGTTTAAAGATACTGTTTGATAACTGAATTGTCAACTGTGTGGCAAAATCAGATTGGATTTGAAGTTTTTTTATTTTTTATTTTTATTGGTTGTAGGGCTTGAACTCTGGGCTTGGGTGCTGTCCCTGTGCTCTTCAGCTCAAGGCGAGCGCTCTACCGCTTGAGCCACAGCGCCACTTCCAGTTTTCTAGTGGTTTATTGGAGATAAGAGTCTCGCAGACTTTTCCTGCATGGGCTGGCTTTGAACCATGGTCTTCATATCTCTATCTCCTGAGTAGCTAGGATTACAGGTGTGAGCCACTGGCACCCTGCTTGAAGTTTTTTAAAGTGGAAAACAATGGAATGGAATCTCCACCAAAAATCAAAACCTCATTCTGTTGCATTACTAAAGGAGCATATCCAAACTAGCTGAAACTTAAGGACAAATTGGATTTAACTGGTGTTTTTTAGTCTGTGCTTTACTACTATACTAGTTGGAAGAATGGAAAGCCAAGCTTTCTTTGCCTAGAGGTTCTTGTAGCCCAGAATCTTCATTCTTGAGGCTTGTTACCTTACATAGCTAGTAAGTTTGCATAAAATAAACTGAATCAGATGATTAATCATATTGTTCCTTAGGAGTTTCTCCCAAAGAAAATCAGTATTCATAACTGAGTATTAGTTCTATTTCTTTATATTCTTTTAAGTCATCAGCCTTCACACTAAGCTAGAATGATTGTTCTCAAAAATGAGATTTCTCAATCATTTAAATTTTCTCATAAATCAGTTTATATGAAATAACAGTCAAAAAGATAAAAACTTGACTGGTATCCAAATGAGTTGGAGAGTCCAACTTTGTCTCAGTATGTGCAGTCATTCCCTAGCTTTACATGACTCCATCATTTTAAAGGAAAAACATTAGTCATACATACGGGACTAGCGTATCCTGCCATCTGTGATGACTGGCTAAGGAATGAAAGTGCAATTGGAAACCCATCAGAGTCTATGCTGGTACAGAAAGACTTGATTCAAGAGGGTTCTGTTCTCCTGCTCTACCTGGGGCTAGGAAGCAAAAGCCAGTTAGTGTCAAACAGCTGTCTTCTTTTTTCTGTTCCATATTAGATGAATAGCTTCTCAAAGTGGGCTCTACTCTGTATCGAGAGAATTACTGATAGAATCAATGTTTTTCTCCTCACCAAATTAGTACATTTAGGCAGTTCAACTTGTGTATCACTAAAAACACTACATTTAGGCAGTTCAACATGTGTATCACTAGATATTTCCTCTTTAAAGGGGATTGGAATAGATACTGTTTAGACTCTAACTGTAATCTGTGAAAATCTGGCCTACCTATTGAAAATGATGTCTGGGGTTTTTTTTTTGTACATGATCAGGACTTGAACTTGGTATCTGAGACTTTTACTCATTGGCCATTGTTCTACCACCTAAGTCATGCCTACAACCCAGAAAATGATGTCTTTTGATATTAGCAGTTAAAATTCCTCTCTGAACTAATATATTTGTTCTGATTTCTTTATCCTTTCTTTCACTCTTAACTGAATAAAAATGATTTAATAAGAAATCAAGGACTGACAGCATAGTTTAGCATTTTACCATGAAATGAAGTCCTGCTTTAAGACAGAGAGGAAAGCCTATAATCCTAGCTGCTCAGGAGGCTGAGATCTGAGAATCGCAGTTCAAAGCCAGCCTGGGCAAGAAAGTTGGTGAGACTATCTCCAATAAACCACTAGAAAACCAGAAGCAGCACTGTGGCTCAAGCGGTAGAGCGCAGGGACAGCGCCCAAGCCCAGAGTTGAAGCCCCATGACTGACAAAAAGAAAGGAAAGGAAAGAAAAGATTAGGCCATCTCTAAGGTAATTACTAATACTCATTTCATATAAAACTTACTTCCATGTGGGATCTTGCGTCAAATTTTCTCTAAAACTGGACTTTCTCATATGTCTCAGCTGGTTTCCCCAGGAGTTGTTTGGGGTTTTTTTGGGGGGGGCGGGGGAGGCCAAGGGCCTGGGTGCTGCCCTGATCATTTCTGTTCAAAGCTAGTGCTCTACCATCTTGAGCCACTTGAAGTTTTCTGGTGGATAATTAGAGATAAGAGTTTCACAGACTTTTCTTCCCAAGCAGTCTTGGAACCTGGAGCCTCAGATTTCAGTCTCCTGAGTACATAGGATTACAGGTGTAAGATTGGCACCTGACTGGGTTTTTTGTTGTTGTTCGTTCTGGTCTTGTCTTGTCTTTTCTTTTTGCCTAATCTACTTCTCTCAGCTCCATTAGAACTCAGAGGAAAGGTGTCTTCTATTTTCTGTGAACTATTTATTTTAGGGTCTTGGCTATGGCTAGATTCCATTCTGTATTGAGTTAACACAACAATTACTTTTTCCTGTGATATCTCTACTTTTACTCTTTTTCTTTTCTTTTTTTTTGGGGGGGGGTCCGGTTGTGGGGCCTGAACTCTGGGCCTGGGCACTGTCCCTCAGCTCTTCAGCTCAAGGCTAACGCTCTACCACTTGAGCCACAGTGCCACTTCCAGCTTTTTTCTTTTTGCTTATGTGGTGCTGAGGAATCGCTTATGTGGTGCTGAGGAATCGAACCCAGGGCCTCAGGCATGCAATGCAAGTGCTCTACCACTGAGCCACCTTCTCGGCCCCTTTACTCTTTTTCTTTAGAAGCCCTGGTAACATTTCCTTTCTAGTTCCCATACCAAAATTGTAAGTTAAAATTTAAAATCCAAGTTTACTCAGAGTCTTGTCTTTAGCCAGTCCTGAATGGAACTTTCTGTAGAGGAAACGGAAGCATGTCTATATTTTCAGGAGGCATGTAGATGATAACTCTTAGTTCATAGACCAAGAAGTTATTCAGGAAACCTTTTAAGGTTTTACAGTTAGAATGGTAAGCTTTTATTCAGAGTACTTTATATAGAACACATCATAAACAGTCTTTTTGAGTATGAATATGGGAAAAACCAATATCCACAAAGACAGATCTCAGTAGAGGCAAGTTTGGAAAAGTCTTCTTAACATCTCTTACTTACATCAAGAGTTGGGAATAGCAATATATACACTAACCTGGAATTGTGAGTGGCTGTTGAATTTAGGGTTGTAGCTTGTCAAATGGATTCACTAAATGAGAATTTTTAAGGGAAGCAGACATTCCCAGTTTCTCTGATAATTGTTTTAAGCTAGTTTTTAGAAATTACAACTGAGCTAGGGATTCTTTTTTCCCCCTTTGAGAACATATGCCTTTTGGATAGAATTCAATCAACTATTGATGTGATATTCAGAAACTGAGGAACTCTGATCTTTAACGTTTGTCTTAGCCCCAGCCAGGAAGTCAGTTTTGACAGACCCTGATAAACTCAAGAAGCTGCAGCAGAGCGGGGAGGCCTTTGTTCAGGATGACTCCTGCGTGAACATTGTGGCCCAGCTGCCTAAGTGCCGGGAGTGTCGCTTGGACAGTCTGCGCAAGGATAAGGAGCAGCAGAAGGACTCGCCTGTGTTCTGTCGCTTCTTTCATTTCAGGAGGTGAGGCATTTGGGAAAAATGCATTTAATCGGTCTTGGCTGTATTTCATATATCTTTTTCTCTCCTATCAACAACAAGTGTAGAATGTAGAAATTGTTATTTAAAAGTTAGATATTACTGGATATTTTCTTTTGACTTCTTTTTAAATGAAGATTTAATATCTAAACTTGTATTTCTAAAAGTAACATCATAGGAAAATGCTGAAGAATCTGAAAAAAAACCACCACAAATAACTACTGTTAACTTCTCAGAGCATTTTTAGTGTTTGCATGGTTCTAAAGTGTGTTCAGTCATACCTAGTTAATATTACAGACACTAAATCTTACCCTTACTAAGAATCTTTTGATTATGTATAAAGAACCCATTACAAATTACTTTGACCAGCTAGCTCCCTCACAGGTACATAGATCATCCTACTTTTTTTTTTCTTTTTTTGCTACTAGAAAACAGTACAAAATGTATTATCTTCCAGTCCATATCTCTGTTTTACTTTTACTTTGGAAGGATTCCTAGAAGTGGCATTAGTAGGTTAGAAAGTGTGTGTCAAGACCAAATTGTCCTCCAGGAGTATTACACCAGAATTTTATGCCTGCTGGCTGGGTCAAGCACTTGTCTCTGCTAGCTGAGAGATAACTTAAAAGATTTGCTTACCTTTTTTATTTTTTATTTTTTGGGTCTGGTCGTGGTGCCTGAACTCTGGGCCTGGGCGCTGTCCCTCAGCTCTTCAGCTCAAGGCTAGTGCTCTACCAGTTGAGCCACAGTGCCACTTCCAGCTTTTTTCTTTTTGCTTATGTGGTGCTGAGGAATCGAACCCAGGGCCTCATGCATGCAAGGCAAGCGCTCTACCACTGAGCCACCTTCCCAGCCCTGCTTACATTTTCAAATAAACATTCATGTTCATATTGTTTGTCAGTCGTGGGGCTTGAACTCTGGGCTTGGGCGCTGTCTCTGTGTTCTTCAGCTCAAGGTGAGTGCTCTACCACTTGAGCCACAGCGCCACTTTTGGTTTTCTAATGGTTTATTGGAGATAAGAGTCTCATGGACTTTCCTGCCCAGGCTGACTTTGAACCATGACCTTCAGATCTCAGCCTCCTGAGTAGCTAGGATTACAGGCGTGAGCCACTGGCACCTGGCTCCATATTATATTCTTTTAATTGGCAAATTCACTTTCTTAAATTCCTCTATCTTAAGTGAAGAAAAGTGTATTCTATCATTTTTGTTGAAACATAATAGTCCTGTTTGGGTGTAGTTAATTTTAGATAGAATGGGCTTTCTCAGAATTGGAGGTATTTTCAGGTCCAAATGGTTATAAACAAGTGTCTTCCTTTAATTTTTTTCATGTTCTTTAGAATCTAACTTAAAATCTTAAATGAAAAAATGGTATCACTGCACAGGTAATTTAGACTAAAGCTTCCTCTTGGTTATTAGGAGAATGAGATTTGAAATTGTATAGTACACTCACTGGACAAGTCTGTTAGTAATTTTTTTATTCAGGCTTATTTGGTGAGGGAGAGATTCTTTAGATACTAGTTTGGCCCATTCATTCTTGAATGAATTGCTAACGCACACTGTTTAAAGTGTGGGTAGCATTTAGAGCTGTGATACTTTGAACATCTGTCACATATTCACATGTTAAAATATATTCTGAATAACGCCTGGCCCAGAATAGTTTCATATAAAGGTTAGCTCTATTCTACTTCCTCTCAGGAGAATTTTGTTTTTACCCAAATGTGTGTGAAGATGAATAGGAATTTGAACTTAAACCACAAAATGGTATATGCTTATACAAGTCTGTGTGATCCCATTACAGACTTAACCATACGGCGTTGTGGCTCCTGTGCTGTGAAATGTGGAGCTGGGATAGAGAGAGATTAGGGTTTTTTCTTTGTAATATGAGGGTTTGCTTTATTTTGTGCTGTTTAGAAATCATTCATTTTATGGATTTCTGTTCTTCAAAGTTTTGATGACTTTAAAGGAAAAGTGCTGTTACTTAGTGTTCATCCTATGAACTTCTTTCTTTAGCATAGTTTAACTTTTCCCCCTGATGTTTAGAGGGTGTAGTATGGTTGTCATTAGCTTCTTCATCAAATTCCTCGCCCTCTAAACATGGTTAAGATAAAATAGGAATGTGTTACCATTAGCTCCCCCATTGAAATGGCTTTGAAACTTGTTTTTCAATATTATGACTATGTCTCATCTTGGACTCTGAATTAAAAGCTTGCTTCCCTTTTGGACTGCTTGAAATAAATTTGTTGTTGTTTTAATAATGCTTCTTGTTTTTTCCTATCAGTGCATCCTAAACTTTTGGACAAATAATTGTCTAAACTTGTTTTGTATATCTTATAAACTCATGGAGTTTTCATAGTTAAGCTATTGCTTAATGAAGAGATGAAGGCTTTCAGAAGCTGACCTAACTTACAAGTTCTTCAACTTCTTGCTGGTCTTACCTACACGAATAAAAATATCTTCTGTTTAATTTGTCTATTGAAAGCAAATACTGAGAAGCCAGGCACCAGGTAGTTCATGCCTGGAATCCTAGCAAGTCAAGGAGCTGAGAGGAAAATCATGGTTCAGAGCCAGCCGAGGCAGAAAAGTCCATAAGAGTCTTATCTGGAATTATCCACTAAAAAGCTGGAAGTGGAGCCATGGCTTAAGTGGTAGAGCAGCAGCCTTGAAAAAGAAACTAAAGAACAGTTTAAGCCCCAGTACCAGCGCACACAAAAAAGAGAAAAAGCAAGCAAGCAAATACTGAGAATTGCATTTTGTTTCACTTAGGAAATGCATTCTATATCAATGCTGCTTCTCATCCTAGGAGCTTAACATTACACTAGGATCCCTGTGGGCACTGAATACCTCCTGGATCAATATCATTGCTTTGGTGACTGTCCAGAGGTCTCTTCTTGTGGAGCATTATTTTTGAAGCCGTTGTTGTGTTTAGATCTGATTAGATTATTCATCACCTTGTTTGTCAGCTTTCTTGTAGTGACTTAGGGACTGTTCTTGCTGTTGAAGCCTACATCCACTTTATTGAATAATTGTCTTTGGATAGTCTCTAGCTTGTCTTTTGGGAAGAGGGCCTGCTTTTTTAAACAGTCACTCTAGAGACATTATGAAGTAATTGGCTACAGCATCCATGAAGAGTAGAGACAACTGGGAATGACTTTATTGATTGAAATTATATTTGCATGGAATTGCAAGGTATAAATCCATTTTTTTGTTTTCCCCATAGATTGCAATTCAACAAACATGGTGTGTTGCGGGTAGAAGGCTTCTTAACACCAAACAAATATGATAGTGAAGCAATTGGCTTGTGGCTGCCTTTGACCAAAAATGTTGTGGGAACTGACTTGGACACAGCAAAGTATATCCTGGCCAACATTGGAGACCACTTCTGTCAAATGGTGATTTCTGAAAAGGAAGCTATGTCAACTATTGAGCCACACAGTAAGAACATCTCTTAAGGGGCAGGATATTTGACTCCAACCTGATTTTTTTTTTTTGACACCCCTGGGTCCCAAAGTTGCATGGGTTTCAATTTCACCAGAAATGTAGATGACTTTGATAGAAGGAGGGGAGATAGCAATTTTCCTTTTGCAACAGTTTTCCTCAGAGTTGGCCACTCATCTGTAAGGATGTATTTGGTAATATTATCGAAGGAATAGAGCTCTCTCTGATTGGGAAAGGCCAAAGTGAAGCAGTGATATTTGCACGGCCTTATCAGCAGTGTAAGGCTCACCAAAAGGATGAAACCTCAGACTGGCTTAGAGAAAGGTCTTTAACCAATCATTTCAAGGAAAATAAGACTAGACAGGCCATGTCCTAGACCTTCCTGGTCCCAGTCAACATGAGAATGACAATTGGCTCAGATGCAAATGATTCTATTCAAAACAGAGTTTGAGAGGACTATCTGTGTCTTTGTCCTCCATTCTTTAATAGCACTCTTGAGCCCAGTAAGACACACAGGTATCAGTGTGGTGCATGAGAAGACCTCCAGGGTGACGTGTTAAGGTAGGATGTCTATTCATGAGTTCTTAGAAACCAGATGCTGAGCCAGACACACCACAGGGCCTGTGTCTTACAAGTATCATTTATTTTGTCCAAGTACATAATTGACAGTTAATAGTGAGCCTTTGCATTCTATAGTATGTCTTTTATATACTACATAATTCAAGTATGTTTGAGTACAAGCATCTACACCACTCTTTAAGAGTTTCAGCACAAGAAATATTAAATATAGAGATCTTTTATTTCTCCCATCCTGACTCAGGAATCTTGGGGATTGAAGTTGTAGCTCCATGATAGAGCCTGTGCCTAGCATATGCATGGCCCTGCGTTCTATCCCTAGTACCCTAACACCAAACAAAAGCCAAAGACTTAAAGATCTTTTAAAACATCTCCCATCCCTAATCTTTTTTTTTTTAAGTGGTGGGGCTTGACCTCTGTGCCTGGGCACTGTCCCTCAGCTCTTGGGCACAAGGTGAGCGCTCTACCACAGCACCACTTCCTGTTTTCTAGTGGTTTATTGGAGATAAGAGTCTCACGGACTTTCCTGCCTGAGCTGGCTTTGAACTGCGATCCTCAGATCTCAGCCTCCTAAGTAGCTAGGATTATAGGCATGAGCCACTGGCGCCTGGCTCCATCCCTAATCTTTGCAGGACAAGTGATAACAGGTTTTCCATTTTTAGTAGTGATGCAAGCCTTCCTTATTAAAAATATTTGGGTAAAAGTAGTAGATTGACAGAAATTTTTTCATTAACTGCTCTAGTGTTCATTAATACAGGACTTCAATGTAGATTCTTCTTTGGGATGTATTAGTTGTTTCCTTCCTAAATCCCAAAGAGATGTTTCATGTGATACTTTTTTCTTTGTAAAGACTATTTTTTTACATACAGGAAAAAAAGCACAGGGTACGGTTGTGGGGCCTGAACTCTGGGCTTGGGCGCTGTCCCTCAGCTCTTCAGCTCAAGGCTAGTGCTCTACCACTTGAGCCACAGCGCCACTTCCGACTTTTTTCTTTTTGCTTATGTGGTGCTGAGGAATCGAACCCAGGGCCTCAGGCATACAAGACAAGCGCTCTACCACTGAGCCACCTTCCCAGCCCTGAGCCACCTTCTTAGCCCATGCTTTTCTTTTTTATATTACAAACTGTACTGATTTTGAATATTGAAGAATGATGTGGAAAGATGCGGTGATACCTAGAGAGCTGCTCCTCTGATCCTGGTATTGAGAAGCAGAGACCTTCTTGAGACTTGTAGGATTCTCTGTACCAAATGACCCTTAAGTGGGTGGCTAAGAGATCTGAGGCACACTTTCTGATAAAACAGTCTAAGCCAAACAACCAAGATGAAATTCATAATACCTCATTTGTAAAATGCCCAAAAGCTCTTTCTTGTGTATTGTGCATAGACAGCATGAAATGTAGTGAAATGACAGTTCATTCATCAGGTGGGATAGGTTAATGCACAAGTTGGGTCATTTGGATCATGCTCAGTGTAAAGAAAGAAAGAAAGAACCACTCACTGGATTAGAAAAGATGTGTCCATAGAAAAAGCAAGTAGACATGTACCCACAGTTACTCTGCTCCTACTCCTTGATAACTGGTGTGGTCAGCTGACTGGATGCCTGTCCATGTTGAAGTGAGATATCCAGTGGTGTGTCCAGTCCTGGAAGGCCCATTCTTCCACTTGTCAAGTGTTGGCTACTGGAATGGCAAAGACTACTTTTGCAGAGCTGCCCTGGATGGTTGTGTGTCAGTCTCCTGGATGTTTGATTACTGTGAATCTGGTAAAATCAAGTTTCTCCCTGGTTGATGAAGGAACTCAACCTTTGTTACTTTGTGTCCATGTTAAGTTACTGTGCTGGACACAATAAAAAGAAATAAAAAAAACTAAGCACCCTAGTTTTTTTTTGTTGTTTGACAGTGTTGGACTTAGAACTCAAGGCCTCAAACTTCACAGTTGTTTCCAATGCTAAGCCATGCTTCCAGCCCTCTTTTGCACTGGTTATTTTTTAATGTCTATTTTTGCCCAGGTGTACCCCCTAGATCACAATCTTTCTGTTTGATGCTTCTTTTTTTTTTTTTTTTGGGTCCGGTCATGGGGCCTGAACTCTGGGCCTGGGCACTGTCCCTCAGCTCTTCAGCTCAAGGCTAGCGCTCTACCGCTTGAGCCACACCGCCACTTCCGGCTTTTTTCTTTTTGCTTATGTGGTGCTGAGGAATCGAACCCAGGGCCT